TTTTTAGAGAGAGTGGGAGGGAGGGAGGAGGGGAGAGAAAGAGAGAGAAACATCGATGTGAGAGAGACACATCGATTGGTTGCCTCCCGCACTCGTCTAGACTGGGGCTGGGAATCAAGCCTGCAGCAGAGGTATGTGCCCTTGACCAGGAATCAAACCCATGACCCTTCAGTCCAAGGGTCGATGCTCTAACCACTGAGCCAAACCTGCCCGGGCAAGCATGCATTTTTAAAACCTAATACTAGTTTGCTCTTTATATAAATGTCTGAATTAACTAAGGTCATCATCATAATTATATAGAGCAACCCTACCCGGTTCATAGTTCAGCATCTCAAAACACAGAAATGTGGGTGCAATAGAACATGTTCTGGGACTTGGGAAAAGCCCTTTTAAGGATTTAAAGTGTGAAGCACTTGACTTCTAATAGCAAGTATGCAGGAAGAAATCTTAAGCACAGCATAAAAGTCACATTTTCACAGGTTCTCAAAATAGCAAAATATTATTCATTCACATCTCAGATTTTTTTCTTCTTAGAATAAAAATAAGCAGACTTTTAATTTTGAGAACCATAATTTCTAAGTTTTCTTTGATAATGCACAATTATTTATAAGACATGGACTGATTCTAATTAAAATGGAATCTTAACCCAGGTACTAGAAATTACCCTTTTTACACTATTAAGTTTATTTAATTTCATCTTTCCCTTCCTCACTTATGTCCCCTTCCCAAGACCCCAAACCCCCATCCAGACTGTACATAAACAAGCATAGTTCTCTTGGGAATTTGAAGTTACAATTAAAACACTTAAATAGAGATTGTCTTAGATTAATGACTCCAATCATATAATTCTAATAATCAATAAACACAGAAAAGACAAACTGTGAATGCAGCAATGCAAATATCTTAGAAGCCAGGTCTATTATTAGTGGAGAAATGCCATTTTTACAGTCTCAAAAAGGTACAATATATTTTATTGAGTCACTTAGAAGTAACCTGGCTATTTTAGCCATACCAATAAATCTGTTCACATTAGGTAATTATAGGGTAGGAAGTAAAAAGCAAGAAGACATTAAAGAATATAAAATGTTATGCATGCATCATGAACTTAATTTAGAATTCTTTGTGTTTCATATAAAGTGGGAAGGTCAAAAAGAAGTGGAGGTGTAAGAACAGAAAGAACTTCAAGTTGAAAAAAGACATGAACTGCAATTATCTGCATATGCCCTATTTAGAAAAACATCTTGAAGCCATCCTTCAGTGTTAAAAAAAGAAGGTATTTGTTGACTACATTTTTAATCTTTCCATTAATTAGTTATGCTTCAGAACTCATTCATTAAATACCTTAGGAATTTTGACACACTAAATAATTATGTACTTACCAAAAAACTATTTAGAGGCAAGGATCCAAAAGATGAAACTGTACCTGTTTTTTGGATTCAGAGGTTTTAATTAATTTTAAAATGACTTTCCCTCTCTACCTTTCAACTGGCAAAAGAATCAGTATAAAGAGTAAGACCTGAGTATTTCTCCTACCAGACCAGCTGAGACAAATTCTCATGTTTCCAAGTGTACTCAAATGTGAGGGATCCTGTTTTTTTGTTTAACCCTTACAAAGCAAAAAAAATCAGACAAGATGAGAAAGGACATATTTCAATGTTCAAAGCGACAATTTACAATGATGTTATAACAGTTATGAACATCTTTGCACCAAATAACACAGCAACAATCACTATTAGCACAAACTACAGGAGGTGCAAGGAGACATAGAAAAAGCACATTAGTAATAAGATACTTTAATGTGCCACTCTCCATTGAGGGGTGGATCAAGAAGGGGAGGAAAATAAGTAAAGGTATAGAAGACCTAACCAACTTACTTGGTAAGGTAGAAAACCTAAAGTTGTTTATCAAACTTTGCACCCTGATAATTTTTGTAACATTTCACTGTTTGTAATTATTCCAAAAGTAAGCTACCAAAAAATTAGAAGGAAGAGGGAGGGGAGGGGATGTGAGGGGAGGGAAAGAAGAAAAACCAGAGGAGGAGCTGGAAAGGAATGGACAGTCATCAAAATGTCAGAAGTTAACTATTTTCCTCTCTCTTTCTTAAAACATTAAGCAATCTTGAGCATTAAAGAAATTCCTCCCCTCATTTTCACTAGTAAAGTATTTTTAAATTAGAAAAGTCTGAAAGCATGCATTCCCAGTGGAAGCCACACTGAGAGGTCACAAAATGGGGCCAGTGTGATGATCTGTTAGTCAAGACACTGGCTGGGTCAGGGAAGGCCCTTCTAAAAGGCTCAAGGCCCTTCATGCGAAGCGCAGGCGGCTGTGTGTACCCAGCTTCAGCTGCCTGGAAGGTGGAACCTGCAAGGGTGGGGCTGGGTCGCTCTTTGGGGCATGCAGTGCAGTCACCTCTCTCTTGCAGCATCGCACTCCAGCTCCTGCACAAGGTCACCGGGGGACCTCAATCCTAGTCCACAGTCCCCTCGGACTGCCTCTCCTCTAAACCTAGGCTGGAGGTTCACCACCAGGAGGAGTTCCCGAAGCTTGTCTCCACATCTGTCTCTTCATGGGTTATCCAAATGACAGACTGGTAGAGGACAGGGTCTTTGCTGGGTCTCGTGAACCTAAGCCACCCCACCAGCCCACTTGCAGCCTCTGCCCGCGTCATGCCTCGTCACCCCTCTTGCTTACTTCTGCCTTGGGCGATCACTTCCAGGTCAAAACATTCTCTTCTTTAAACAAAAACCTTCTGGGTGCTTTTTGGCAGAACCATTCTTTGTTAGAAGCCCATGGAAAAAAACAAATGAAAGGCTGCCAGAGAAGTGTACATATAATTTGACTCATTTAGCCCAGAGATGAAAAGTCTCCAAATCCCAAGATTTTTGAGGAGGGTGGACAAAAAGCACACACTCAAGGAAATAAAATATGACAGAAGTGTGATGAGGTTGGTCCACTGCCCAGAGGCGCTGAGTTCACTTCTACCGCGTCAGCGCGCAAAACCAACTACCATTTCGTTCGAAAGGGAAAAGAGAAAATGCACGTTGTCTGTCTCACTGAGCAAATGACTGCAGCTTAGCGGATGCAGCTCTGCACTCGGGGCTTTCTCCACCCTTCTTTTTAGGAAAGAAGCCACCCAGGTGACGCTCTAATGAACAATATGGGCAACGCGAGTGGCAACGAGTGCACAGCTGAGGCCATTTACCACAAGGGTCCTCACGTTCCCATAAGACATTTGATGTCTGCTCTCCCCCCCCCC